TAAGAACCAAGATACATCATGTACAGGTACAAGCACTCAATGATAAATGTAAATGTATTGTATACCTAAAATGTACCAATAAAGGAATTTAAGGAAAAAAATAAATAAAGTATATGAAACAAAAATTGACAGAATTAATGGGAGACATAGATGATTTCATTATCATAGAGCTATCGATACCCTTCTATAACTCAGCATTTCATAGAAGATCTAGGCACAATCCAATAAAAACAAATAATCTGAATAATCCTATCAACTACCTGTATTAAAATAACCCAATGACAAGATACATATTATTTTCAACTATACATGGCATGTTCACCATAGAGGAGATAAAGAACATGAAGTTTGTTTTCTAACTACAATGGATTTAAATTAAAAGATCAGTAACAATAAAATATCTAAGAATTTACGAGGCGAATCAGAAGGATATAAAAACACAAACAATGCAGTGTGGAGGAAAATATAGTAGCATTAAAACTTGTGTGCAAATACCATTATGTGGAAAATATTTGCTAAAATAATGTAAAACAAAGAAACTAACAAAATGTTCAAACTCCATGTTTTGGATAATAATGAAAGCTTGAAAAGAAAAACTTAAGTGTGAAGATTTCCAGATAAAATAGGGAAGGTGGAGAAAAAAACATCACGTAGTTTAGTCAGCCCTTAATATAAAACTCCACAATTCTAGGGGAAAAACCACTGGTCATTCCATTTAGAAGCCCTTGTAGAATGTCTATATAGAACAAGTGGAGCTTCATAACATTAGCTCCTGTTCATTTGAGGAAACCAAAATACTTCAACTCTTTCTATTTTAGTTTCCTATTTATTCTGATCAGTCTTGACCATGGGTTCTAAGGACTAATGAATTAACAACCTGAAACTATTAGGGGTAATTTGAGAAGACATTGTGCATTTAGGTTTTATGTCCTTAGCATAGAAGTACTATTGGTTTTTCAGTTGTTATAATGTGTGCTTTCTCTCTGGAGCAGTTGTTATTACAATTATTAACTGGTCATAGTCTCTTTTTTTCTGGGAGTGCATAAAGCTAACTTTTAATCTGAAAAGTCGAAGAAAGGGGAAAACTGAGGGACTAGAGGAAAAGAGTTTAATCATTTCCTGACTGCCAGGCAGTGAGTAACACTTTCAAGGATGGGTAAGATAGTAGCAAAATTCTCGTCTGGAGAGTGCTCCCCCTGCCCCCAGGTGACCTTGTTAGACAGTTCTTGACTAAAAGCTACGGAGTATGAAAGCTTGGTCCAATAAGGGTTGCACCATAAGGGAAGGCAGTTCTGTGCATAAAAATTAGCAAGCTTTTTAATTTTTACCTTGGAAAACTTATTTAATTAAAAAAATACAAGAATGGCTTGAAAATACTTTTTGATTTCTTAATGTACAATCATATTTGGGTGAGATATATTCATAAAACAGATTCAAGTAAGGTAACTTTCCAATGTTTATCGAAAAACTACAATCAGAATAATCTAACAAGATCAAGTCCTTTTATTCTATGTTTTATAGTACCAGTATTTTTGAATTTGTCATAGTTTTGTAGGTTTCGTGATTTGGAACAATACTTTTATCCTCTACTACTATTCTTAGTCATAAGGTCAGATATCATGTTTGGTTTATTAACAATATTTCTAGCAGTTATCATAGTGACTGGCACAAAATGGGCATTCAGTAAATATTTAATAAAAATAATCAAGTTGTATTATTTTAGTCTCGTCCATATTTCATATAATGTACATAATAAGACATCATTAGTAAGGTTTATAAAGATTAGATTAGATAACATATATTAAAATTCTTTATAAACAATAAATTGCTTTACAATTTATATGCTTTTATATTTTTATTTTTATGACCCTTGTACCCCTTACCTCTCTCAATCTGCACCAAAAGTTCTCATTCCATTTCTTCTTGCTATGCTGTGTCCTTTTCTCTGTACCCTTATCTTCTCCCATTTGGTCCTTCTTCCTGAAAGGGAGATGATTATGATACTGGTGATGATGATGATTACCATCCTGGTGGGGGACTGTGTGATATTTCATTAGGATAATAAAGCTGAGTCTACAAAAAATGAAAGTGCACATGATCATCATTTCCCCGATCCTTGGAACTAAATATTTTTGGTCAAAAACTACTTTTAGCAGCTTCTTTATATTTAGTACTATTATTTAATATCTATATCTTTCTCTCTTTGAAAAAGAATACAAGAGAAGGAAAGGAATAGTAATACCATATTGATGTCCCACCAATTTCATACTCATATCTCTCTTCCTCTTAACTGTGTGTTATTATGTATAAAAGTAAAACAGAGAACATTCCACTCACTCAAACAGTACATCCTTAAGTGTCCCCAGGTTCAGTATTATACTTCTTGCTCCAGTTTTCATCTGTCTGCAGGTAGTTGAATAAGAAAACAAACTCTTATTGTACACATCTTCTGTGTGTCCTTTGTTGGGTTTTTTTTTTTTTGCCACTTTTGTGTTTTTTGAGTTAAGCTTAAGTTTGAAAACTTTAGAAGGTAAGAGTACACCTAGTTTTAATGTTGTGTACAAGAAGATATCTATTCATTGGGCCGGGGATTTAGCTCAGTAGTGCCGCCACCTGCCTTGCAATTGCAAGATCCCGAGTTTGATCCCCAGTACACACACACAAAAAAGATATCTATTCATTGCTAAATAGCAAACAGTCCATGATTAATGACTTAAAGCAATGACTATTATATTTCTTCAGGAATTCATATAGGGTTCATTTGAGTGGTTCTTCTCCATGTGGTATCAGCTATGGTCCTTCCTGTGCTTGGACTCATTCAGCTGATGAGTCAGTTGGACGTGGGCTGAAATGTAGCACTGATACAGCTAGGGCTTGAATGTTTAAGGTAGCTACACTGACATATCTGGCAGCTCAGCTGGAATGACTGGAACAGTTAGCTGGCTGGCAGGATATTTATGCTTCTTCTGTCTCTGCAATAGAGTAGCTGGAGCTCTTTACATTGTGGTTCAGGGATCTAACAAAGGGGAAACAAACTCTCATAATATTCATCATCAGAAGTCATACAGAATCACTTTGGCCACATTCTCTTTGTTAAAGATAGTCACAGCAACAGGCCAAAATTCAATCATTTCAACAGCAAAGATTTTACGTCTTGATGGAATGTGTCAAAATCTCCTTACAAAGAGCATGTAGAAGGGAAGATAAAGTTGTGAACATCTTTGGATACAAAAGTCTATCATACTGGGGTACATATTGTATTGAGTAGTTTGATTAAATTTCAAATGACACTGCAAGAAGAAGGAATCACAAAAGTTGCCTATTCTAACATCTCAGTCAATTGATAATCTTATATATAATATTCTTAAGAAACTGAAAATTTCTCAATAACCAAACACTGTGACAGCGCACACCATACTTCAGGAAACAGTCCCTTTCTTGACCACTCTGGTTTCCTGTAATTTTCATAATCAGGATCCAAACAAGATTTACAAATGACATTAAGTTGAAAACTGTCTCAGATATCTTTAAAACAATAACAAAACATTTTACCCTCTATCACTTGCCATCTATCTGCTAAAGAAATTGGTTCATTTGAATTTTCCTCATTTTGAACTTGGCTCATGGAATCCTTTCTTAGCATGGTCCTCCATCCTTTATATTTCCTAAAGAATAACTGACTCCTACACTTGATTTTAGCCAAAAGGCTGAGAAGCGATAAGAATAACTGACTCCTAATTGAGCTCAAATTAAATTTTCTTGGCGTGAGTACATCATAGGTGGTACTGTGTACTTCTGACCACAAAACAATCAGAGGCACAAAATGCTGATCTGTCTTTTTTTTATTAAAAATCTATCACTGGGTTTAGATGCTGTCAGCCTATCTCCCCAGAATGAAATTCCCCAGGAATCTCTCTCTTAATTGTTTTAGTAGTCAAAATTCTTTCTTTCATTAGGTGTTGCAAACTGATTATTTTCTGAATCTGTCTTTCTGTTTATTAGCCGAATTTCTTCTATTAAGAACTTTTGCTTGACTATTTGATTACACAGTTTGTATAACAAAAGATAAATACTTCCATTTCTTTCCTTTTATTTTCTAGTTTTCAGAATAATAATTTAGTGCTCAGCAATTGTGTTAGCTTTCTGTTCCTGTCATGGAATGCCTGAGAATTCTATTTGAAGGAGGTAAGATTTATTTTGACTCAAAATTTAAGAGGTTTATGTTCATGATCAGCTGGCTTCATTGCTTCCAGATTTGTGGCAAGGCAGAAACATCATAGCAGAAAGGCATATCCTTTTAGAGAGAAAGGGTATACAGAGAGTTTAGTCTAATTGCTACTATGTTGAAATTGCTTCCAGGAATTTTTGAGCAGATAAATTTAGAACCTAGATATTTATTTTTTAAAAGGTAAAATACACCATGAATTTACACTGGAATAAAAAATTCAAATTTAAGATTATAGATTTGATAACTTACTTGGTGTCAATATTTGTATCTCTTTTAGAATTCCTAAAGACATTCATATAATTATTTATGAATATAGTGAATAAGTAAGTTAATGAATTATATGAGAACTAACACATATGCACATTAATTATAAAATAGCAACATAGGGCCGGGGATTTAGCTCAGTGGTTCCACTGCCTGCCTTGCAAGCGCAAAGTCCCGAGTTCGATCTTTGGTACCAAAAAAAAAAAAAAAATAGCAACACATACATAAATACTAAGCATGTTTTAAATTTTCTGTTTTGTTTTAAAGATATATCTTCTAGGAGTACATTCAAATTTCTGAGTTCAAGTTACTTGAAAGATTTCTTCTCTGTGTAACTAAGTCACTAACTTGATGTATAGTTTCGTTTCATTTTGGTTTTGACTTTTTAAAGGACACTCTTTGTGTTTTAAGTCATTTGACCTAGGTTGATCATATATCCCTTCTACAGATGATTATTTTTTAAAAACAATTTACTGAGATAAATTGTCACATAATATATAATTCACTTTTTTTTTTTTTTGGTATCAGGAATAGAACTCGGGTCCTTGCGCTTGCACAGCAGGAGGCGAAACCACTGAGCTAAATCCCTGGCCCCTATAATTCACTTTTAAAGTGTACATTAAATTGCTTTTTAAATAATATTCACACAATTGTTCAACCATGACTACATTCTAAATATTTGTTCCCCTGAAAAATAAAATATAGAACTTTATACTCATTAGGAGTAACTGTCTATTCTTTATTACCCCCATTCCTGTCCCCAACTCAAGGAAACACTAATCTATTTTTCATTTCTATAGTTTTGCCCTTTCTAGAAATTTTATGTTGATTGAATCATACAGTACATGGCCTTTTGTGACTAGCTTCTTTCTTAGTATAAAGTATCTGAGTTTCATTCATTTTGAAGTGTGAATCAGTACTTCTTTTTTTGTGTGTGTGTGTGGAACCAGGGATCCAACTCAGGACCTTGCACTTGCTAGGCAGGTGCTGGTGCCACTGAACTAAATCTCTGGCCCATCATTTTTATTGATGTATGTATAATATTCTATTGTATGGATATACTATATTTTATTTATCCATTTATCAGTTGAAGGATGTTTTGGTTTTTTCCATTTTTTGGTGTATAATATTTTGTGTGAATATATGATCTCATTTCCCTATGGTATGTACCTAGGAGTGGAATATGCATATCTTTCTAAGGTTCGCTTCTTTTTATTTTATTATAAAATAGTATTGATGTGTATGTTGCTATGTTACAATATACAGATCAAGCTCTAAAGATTTAATATGTATCATCTCATTTAATAGTTCAGAAAAACACTTTAGGGATATTTTTCTGGCTTTTTTTTTAAAAAAAAAATCAATATCCAAAGCCAGAATGAAGCAAAGAAAAGCCAACATCCAGTCACATCCCTCCTCTGGTTTACTCTTAGTATTTCACAACTTTCTTAACTCAGATTATTGATATAATTGTAGTTTTCTGCCCACAGCTCAAAAAATACCCTTGATGGATATTCATTTGTATATTTCTCATTGAGTAACCCAAGTTATCAAAGAGTAGTAACAAAATAGAGGAGATGAAGAATCATGTAGAAAAAGTATGTGGCTTAAAGTCAGAGATCTGGGTTTGATTTGTGGCTCTGTGCCTCAGTAGCAGGGAGACCCAGAGCAAATTACTTATCTTCTCTATGCTGGGTTTCTTCTCTGTAAAATGAAGACAAATGGAAAATATAGACTTTGCTGATCTTATGAAGATTAAATTTAAACAATATAAAGTACTTATCAGTGTGACTCATACCTTATATGTAACTGACAAATACTGGGCATACTTATTTTTATTTCATAATTTCAATTTAAAAGTAAGTTACTTAAAATTTTAGTGGAAAGAATTTAGTAACTTCATTGAATACTCATTCTCTTGAATATGTAATATATTGTTGCCAACTCAACAGGGGTTTGTTAATGGCATGGTAATAGATCATCTTGACAAATCATTGGGGAAAATCTGCAAATGATATGTTTTTAGCAATTTGTTTTTTCCCTTTCTTTCACATACTATAATAAAAACAACTTTGAATGCTCAAGGAGATAGATGAGCAGGTGTCCTTAAAACTGACTATAGGAAAGACTCAAGTAGCTTAGACCCTGCTCAGAGTTTCCTCATTAGTTAAATATAAATTTACCCATTTAGCTTCCTCCATTGGGACTTATACCTCTTCTCGTAATAAAATATAATTAATTTCCATAGACTGAGTTTCTAATAATATCATTGTAATGGGTCCCTGTGTTTAATAATTGAATCTCAGTAAGTTAGTCATGACCTATCCCCATTTGTTTCAAATTATAATTTTGTTTTCCAGGTTAAGTTTATTCATAAATCTTCCCAGGTGTCCAAAGGCCAGCATGATGCTTATAAACTTAAGAACTGGAATGCAAATTTAAGCTTTAGCATCATTTTAGATAATATTTAAATTTATTCCATTTAACA